TGGTGGTTTTTTTTTAATGCAAAAGAGCTCTGAACTGGGGGCGGGGGAAGGGAAAGGTGCAACAATAGCCACACACACACACACACACACACACGAAGGGCGATGAAGCTCCCTCCGAGAATGCAAGTTACAGTGACAGCCACGCACGCAGAGCGAGGGAGACAGAGAGCGAAGGTAGACCCCAACACGGATGCTCTCTCTCTCTCTCTCTCTTTTTTTTTTGCCTCTTCCTCCCCCCAGAGAAGCGTCTCACCCATGTTGCAGGGTGGCGGGTGCTGTGGGAGACGTTGCGGGGCGTCTGCCCACGACTGGGAACACGCTGCGCAGAAAACTCAGCGAACGATATTGACACCCAAACGCGGTGCAGTCGTTCGGTGACAGCAGGTACGACGAGACATCGTCCAGCGCATGGCGGGTGTACCCCTGCAGTGCGTACGGCGGATCCATTGGCATCTGAATTCGGTTCGCGGCGGCCACCCGCTGCAGCGTGTCGCCATATGTCCAGTACGTTGTTGGACCGGGCGTGACGCCAAAGGAGAGGAACGGAAACGCGAAGGAGCCCATTGCAGGGGAATCGACTGGTCCAAGCAGCACTACCTCCCGCACCGAGTAGAAGCCGCGCAGGTCGCACAACCAATCACGATCCACATGCGGCTCCACCAACGCGATGCAAGGACGGTACCTCCGCAACGCCGCCTGGACAGAGATGGATTCGCAGGGAAACACAGTGCTGAAGCTCTTGGAAACCACGCCTCTTTCTGTCAAGTCCGCCAATATTCCATTGTGAGCGAGAAGGTGCTTTTGCTGTCGCTCACGTCGCACGGCGTACGAGGGCGGTTGCAAAGACAGCACCCGAAAGGGCAAGATTTCGCTGTTATTTAGCAGCCATGGTAGCCGCCCATTACCAAAGAAGCAGGCAACGGGCGTTCCCCTTGAAAATGCATGCGCCTCACTGTCGTCGCTTCCGTCAGAAGCGCCGCTGGTGTGACTGTTGTGGCTTTTATTGGCGGAGCGACGAAACGCCGCCTCACCGGTGGTGATTTCCTCCACGCGACGGCGCAGGTAAAAGGCCAGGGTCTGCACCATCTCCGCAGTGGGCATAAGATCATCCCCACTGAGCAGGGACAGGGCGCGGGAGGGACCCATGCTATCAAACTCTGTGTGCATGACGTTACGAATCTGCGGAAAGGCCGTGAAGTGCAGCCTGGCGCCAGGACCCTCACAGCGAGAGACGGGGAGCATCGCGTACGTCTGCGTCGTGGCGTAGGGTGTGAACTCGTAACGCCGCCCAGTCGCCGCATCCGGTGGGGCGTACGGGCAGAGGCCAAATAACTCGCGTACTTCCGCGTCGTGCATGACGCGATCTCGTGCCGTGTAGCGGCGGAGACGGCGCCGCCCACGGTCGCCTAGGCGCCGCACAAAGTCGCTCAGTGCCCCACGGCACCACAAGGTGTAGTCCGCGGCGAAGTCGCGCTGAAGCTCGTGCCGCTGATCGGCCTTCATGTCTTGGTAGCAATCAATGACGTCGCGGAGCGGCACACCGTCGGGATGAAGAAAGTGCGCCACACCGCACGCGGGGAGGTAACCCTGCGGCCACTGCGCGATTTGGCTCGGCGGGAATAAACGCCGCACGCTTGCGCCGTCCAAGCGACGCACACGCCCCGGTTTTTGCTGCGACGCCCACGCAACTGTACGGCCGATCATTGCCACTGCTGTGAAGGAGGGGGGCGGCCCTCCGTCGAGCAGAGCCAGGGCGCAAGACCAGAGAAGAGACAAGAGAAGCGGCGAGACATGCAGAGCGTGTGTGGGCGCCAGTTTGCACCACCGCCCCCTCTCCCCACCCCGCAGCGCAGCGCAGCCGCCAGCGGAGCACAGACACACACAGACTTCGCCCCGCATCTCGCGTCCTATCCTCCGCCTCCCCCTGAGACGTGTGGGGCCGGTGGAGGGAATTACAGGCGGCCTTTTTCTTTCGTTTCTCCAATTCCCATCCCAACGGCTTTTGCCTTTTATTTTTCACACCTTCGCCGCCCCCGGACACCGACGGCACTCGAGTGAGCCACGCAAACGGCCAAACTACAACAACAAATCAAAAAACCAAAGGAATTACTTCCATGCCCTACCGTTTCCCCAGGATAAAGCTGTAAGGAGGAGTGGAGCCACGCCATGTACTTTTCCCCTCCACGTTGGCTTTGTGACCACAGATGCACCTGGTAGTTCACCAGCCAACGGAGAGAGGTAGAGCAAGAGACCGAGACGGTGCTTTTATCGTCCACACTTCCCCTTGCGCTGCTGGCGGCAGGCGGGGGTGCGGAAGGGCGTTGCTGCGCTCGCGCAAACGATTGAAGAAGAAAAAAAAAAGAGTCATCCAGCTTCTTCTTCTGAGGCTCCTCTGCGGCGCCGCGGAGTTTGCTGCATCCGCGCTCAAAGGAAGAGATGCCGCACCGCCGGGGGGAGCAGCCGCGTGGCCGCTCTCTCCCTTCCGGGCGTCAGTTCCATCCACGCCCCCGTTTCTCCTTACCACGGCGCAAGTCCAGCGCACAAGTGCTGTTCCCCCCACGCGCCTGAGGGCACCGGCGTGAGGGAAGAAGACGGCCCGCAACGCGCCCAAGTGGCCGCCCAGGCAAATCACTTGTTGCGTGCTCTTTCCCCATTGCAGCGGCTGCGCGTTCCTGCAGACGGATCCCCCGCCGCCCACGGACGCCGCTTGAAGGCGGGCCCCGCAGGCCGACTACTCTCGGCCGGCCCCTTTGCGCCCCTCAGTTTCGCGCCCCCTCTTCCCCCACTGCCGCGCAGCGGCATCCGAGTGCCGCGCGCTATCGTGGGCCGTCGCAAAGAGGCCCAATGCATCACATTGTCTTCGGCCCGGCGGTGCAGAAGTGACCAGCATCCGCCACGATGCGAGTGCCGCCCGCGTGATTGCCCAGTCGCGGGCCAATCGATGGGCGAGCGTCAGCGAGTGAAGACGCCATGGGACCA